ATAAATATAGTCTAAGTATATTATACGTATGTATAAACAAAAAAAAAAACTATTAGTGACTTTGTTGGTTTTTCAAAGCTCGATGAAGCATTTGACGTTGGTAAGGATCAACCGATTGATTTGGTATCGCTACCAGCCAAACACGAAAACTTTGTGGGCAAAATTGCTAACGTATCAGGTTTCGGTTGGAACAATGTTGAGTTGATTGACAACCAGCCGGTGGGTTCCTCATCAGGACAATTAAGACACGAATCAGTAAATATTATGGGGTTGGAAAAATGTGGTGCAGAAAAGTATCCAATTTTACTGTGTGGTCAAATGAAACAAACTCTCGGGCCATATCAAGGCATTTGCTATGTACGTAATAAGAAAATATATATTAAAAAAAAAATAATAGCTTCGCCCCCTGTGTCCTCCGCGCGTTAACTCCCAACTTTTCACCATACATATTTTTAACAATTATTTAATCCAAATAGAGTAATTAAATTTTAGTTTATTAATCTGGTTATACAGATAATTTCAAAAATTATTAAACATGTGAAATACAATTTATTTCTTTTTTTTAAATAAAACTTTTAAATTTACCCGCTTAAAGTAGCCTAAGCCAATCACGTTAGGAATAAAAAGGCTTCAGTCACGTGACATTCTTGTTTTTAAGAAAGAGAATAGTAAAATGTTTACAAAATACAGGCTTCACTTTTAATAACCTAGTATTTTTAAAAAACAAACTCCATTGCATCAAGAGACGAAATGAGTTTCACGTATAAATAATAAGTCAATTTGAAACCTTTTAGTATCTTAAGGAAACTTTTTTTTTCTGACAAATTTGCACCTAAACGTTGCTTTTAAATAATTTTCTTTAACCAGAAAATAATTGTAATTTGTATTTTTTCAGTCCGACAGTGGTAGTCCTCTTGTTTTTGAGAACAAAGTCATTGGTATTGTGAGTACGGGACCAAATGCAATATGTAATGAATCACAAAGTCCAGCAGAATACACCAAAGTTTCGGAGTTTTTGGACTTAATTAACAGTGTTATTGATAATAAACCACTGGGTGACATAGTATTAACTAAATATTACTAATCTAGCTGCAGTTATATCAATGGCTTAAAAAATTCAAAAATTGCACCCGTTATATCATAAATTAGCAGGAAAGATTAATAAACCGAAAAATAGTTAATAAGACCAAAATCAACTGTAATGGTTAGAATGACGTGTACGAAGAGTGTGTGACTTAAAATGAAGGATATGAAGTTGTGAACTGAGATGCAATAAATATTTAGATTTCAGGAAAAACTAAAATGTTTTTAATTTTTTTTCCTTTACACGGTAGCTCTCACGAGAATAATATCTTAAACAAAAAAAAAAAAAAAAACAAAAAAAAGAATTACGAACATTAAAGTGTAACAAAGTAAGTCTCATAGTAGAAGTTTTTAACAAAGTAAAAAAATGTGTTTAGGTAAGTTTTATCTATTCTATTTTATCATGTTAGTTTAACAGTTTTTAAATGTGACACATTACAATACACTGTATTCTACTTAAATAAAAGAATCTGTAAGGTACTTTGATAACCATATATTTAAGTTGTTGAAGATTTGTAAATTTATTTGTATCCTCTTGTGAAATGCAAAAGAAATCAACACATCATTTTTGACGTTTTTGTTAACGGCATTTTAAAATTATAGATTGATTGCCGGTGCCATTTTTAATTAACATTATTTATATGATTCGATATGCTTTCGGTGTTAGTGCTATTATGCAAATTTTTTCCAAATTCAGGATATTGTCGAAATTTAATGGTGTTTGTGTTAATTAAAATAATTTTTAAGCCTTTTATTATGGTTTACTGTGAACTTGTGTTAATGGACAATAAATAATTACTTTAAAAAATATTGATGCTCTGTAAAATTGTTCAAGTTATAAACGACTGGAGTGTACTAAGTCCTCTATTTGCTTGCTATCCGTTCAATTAACGTCATAAACATTTTCATTATTTTTACGAAATAATTTATGGTGGATTGCTATATGATTCGCAAGGCAATTGCTATAAAAAAACTTTTTAATTCATTAAAAAAAATTTTTTTTTGGTAAAATAAATGTTTTTAATATTTTTAGGCTTGTTTGGAATAAAAACTGTCTTTTGGAATTGCCTTATACACACCACAGTTTTTAAATGAACAGTTCAAAAAATTTTAAGAATCAATATCAAGCGTTTAATGTCAATAACAATTTCGTAAAATTAATAAAAATACTCGAGAAAAAGTTGGCTTATTCAAATCCAAGGTGTAGTAAACATTTTTTACTAAAAATATCGCAAAAAATATAAATAAGTTTTTATTTTACCGAAATTGTGTAAATACCTGTCTAAGCTTAGAAAATTTATTAATAACCATTGAAAATGCAAATTTTACAAAAATCTATTATGAAAACGTCGTATAATAGCTAATAGTTTTTCGGTGTGGAAGCTACTTTCGTATGCATCAAACTAGCTTAAACAGCAGCAGCAATACTACTTATCATTTTAGTCACCAGAACGTGTTTTAAAGCTGTGATGATATAATTTTTTAATACCAATCAACACGTTACACCAAAAGTTACGGTGCTTAACCTTTACATAATAGCGTTANAGATAATTAAAAATAGTAAAGAAATGAATACTGCCATCCTGACATAGTTGCACCTTAAACATTGCTTTAAATAATTTTCTTTAACCAGAAAATAATTATAATTTGTAATTTTTCAGTCTGACAGTGGTAGTCCTCTTGTTTTTGAGAACAAAGTCATTGGTATTGTGAGTACGGGACCAAATGCTATATGTGATGAATCACAAAGTCCAGCAGAATACACCAAAGTTTCGGAGTTTTTGGACTTTATTAAAAGTGTTTTAGATAATAAACCGACGAGTAATTCGATAGTTTTAAACAACAGCTTTGTCTCACTTTACATGCCCTTTTTCAACAGTACAATAATAACTGATTCAGCCACGGTGATATCAATTGTTAAAAAAATCCAAAAACTGAATCAATTATACTATGAATTAGAAGAGAAGGTTTCAACTTCACAACCAATAGACAGCGTCACCAAAATAAAGTTTAATGAATACAATGTGACGTACGAAGAGTGTATAGCTAAAAATGAAGGATGTGAAAGTATTCCCGACGTGTTGGATGAATTGGATGTTATGATGTTAAAAGAAATAGACAATTTTGATGCGTTGCAAATAACAGAAACAATTATTAGTGATTAATGTGGTAAAGCAAGTTATTTAAAGAGTTGAAATTTACTAGCTGATTTTTTGAGAATACTTTGTGAATGAAAAAAATTATCAAAAAATAACAAAGAACGGAAAGTTAAAACTTTATAATATGAGTAATACTCATATTCATGCAACATATTGGGTTTGAAAATTTTTATTTTATTTTCGTATAACAATGGCTTAGGAAGTGTTAACATTTACGAAAAATATTCAATATTTAAGACTTGTCAAATTTTTGGATTTTAATTTCTTTTCGCATTTTTAAGGGTTTTTGCTGTGTACAAATGTATACATGTTACAAACATATAAGACAAAGCTAATGTTTTGAGAAATGTAAAATTTTTTTTACAAGTTATTATACAAACCATCGAATGTAATTGGTATTTATTTGATAAACGTGTGAGTCAATCACTACTCGTGCGGGAAATCGTCTTTTCCGCACTTGTTACGTAAATAACTATTACATTCGACTTTTCGTCTAAACGAAGGATAGTACCACGAAATTTTTATTTTAATTACATTCTGTAACAAGCGTATCCATTTACACAAAATTTTACGTCTTGCATGTAAGGCATGACCAACCTATGGATTGTTAGAGCAAAAGTGGAATTTAAATTATAAGATTTTATTTTAAGATCATAATTTAATACTACTTTTTAACAAGTTTTTATATTAATATATCGTCAGTAAATCACAATTAGTAATATAATGTACCTACTAGATAATGATTTTTTTTGCTATTTTATACCGATTTGTGTAAGTACGTCAGTAAGATTTATGCGTTTTGTGTTCAACACGCTGTCCACAAACGATGTGTAAGAAAGTTATATAAAAATAAACCAACTCGACCATACATCCTAATGACCCCACAGCCAACTGTACATCGGCCTAAGTTAGTCTGATAGTCTCCTTATATTACAGATGAATAGCTTCGATTTAAAAAAAAAAATACTTTACTGCAGATATAAAGCTTCCTTCATGAGAGTTAAAAATTTGTAAAATCAATGATCAATTTATGTGTTTCAAATAACTTAATTTATCGTCAAAATTATGGAGGATTTTTCCCATCAAGCAAATACGAGTACGATGTGAGAAGGAGTTCAGCCTCAGTATCACAAATTGCGACAATCGGAATATCCCGAGCTCAAGTTGGGGGACAGCATCGACGGGGTTTCCCACTTTTTTTTACATGTAAGAGTGCTTCTAATCAAATATCGAGCTGTAGATAATAGTATTTTTGACTATGTGACTGCCTCACATATTCAAGTTGTTTAAACATTATTAGCAGCAGTACTTAACACTTTAATCACTAAAGTGTAATTATAGCTCTAATAACATAATTTTTTAATGCTAATCGAAACGTACCAGTCAAATTTACGTCAGAGATACAACCACTATTTTTTGCTTATAAACCTTATTTTTTCGTCACCATCATTCAGTAAAAGAATCTCTCTGAGAGTATCGAAAAATGATGGGTAATAATGTATTTAGTGTTTCAGCAGCATATCTTTTGATACTCATCAGTAATGGTACGTTTTAAATCCCAATTATTAGCTTGCAAATCTATCTTTTATTTTCCAACATAGATAGTATCATGTGATTAGCAAATTATTTTTTTTTAGATGCATATACTCCTCGTTGTAGTGTAGATTTGATTCTTAAATTATTTTTAATGAAACTGATGTTAAAAACAGTCTGAGGCACATTGACATTATTCTGTCATGTGTATAGTCGTAAAAACATTTTTTGATTTACGTGTTTTTCGCTCACTTTTTAAGTGTTTTGGAAAATTGTCATGTTTTTAGACCTCTGTACTTATTTGATCGATTTCAACACGTGTTTATACTGCACATATAAATGTTACCTTCATTTATATTATTTGTCATGACACCATGTAGTAAAATATCTTTTCTGTACCACATATTTTATAATTAGTTATATTAAAAACTTAAAAAAGATTTATTGTATTAATTATATTATTTCAGTTACTAGTTTGGAAACCGAAAATATCATTGGAGGTCATCAATCGAAAGACAAAGAATTCAAGTATCAAGTTTCCATACAAAATATAAGGGAGCACAAATGTGGTGGTGCACTCATTGCACCTGACGTGGTTTTGACTGCAGCACATTGCTTTTATGATCAAAAAACTAATACTTTCAATAACTACCCATATTTTGTTGTCGCGGGGACGACAAACGTAAGCGATTACACTTACAGGACACGCGTAAAGACAATGTATTTGCACTCAAAATATAAAAATTACAATAACACCTTAGTTTTGAACGATATCGCCCTTGTAAGAGTAAGTAAACAAATAAATATAGTCTAAGTATATTATACGTATGTATAAACAAAAAAAAAAACTATTAGTGACTTTGTTGGTTTTTCAAAGCTCGATGAAGCATTTGACGTTGGTAAGGATCAACCGATTGATTTGGTATCGCTACCAGCCAAACACGAAAACTTTGTGGGCAAAATTGCTAACGTATCAGGTTTCGGTTGGAACAATGTTGAGTTGATTGACAACCAGCCGGTGGGTTCCTCATCAGGACAATTAAGACACGAATCAGTAAATATTATGGGGTTGGAAAAATGTGGTGCAGAAAAGTATCNCAGTCAGAGAATTTCACCGAAAGCCTCCAAAATGATGCCAACTAATCTACCCACTCTTTTGGCAGCTTTTCTTGTAATACTTGTAAGCAAAGGTATGTTGTAAATTTCTATTATTAGTCTAACTGGAAAATCATGAATATAAAAGCATGATTTGTGTAAATAAAATCGTCACTGTACAACTTTTTTTTTTAAGTGGACTCATATGTATACTTCAAATCATTAATGTAGATGTTATGATAAAACTCTCGTAAATTTTTTAATAAAAATGGTGCTTAAAATATTTTTTTTTTGTATTTGCTACTTGTGCTGTGACAATATCCAAAGTAATAAATCGTCATTTAGAGTACTGTCAAACATATTTATATTTTCTTCTTTTATAATTACCAGATAATACCTACAGCGTGAAAGTATATTAGTTAAAAATATTGAAGGTGGAGGTACGTTGTAGACTAACCCTAGTTAGAGTAGAGTGTCCGAAAGTCACTGATTATCTCCGCCATTTTTGGGGCTAACTGGAAGTACCCCATAGACATATAAAAAATATAGACTGCTCGTCTTACGTACGACGCTGAAGCACGAGTAGAAGGAGACACAGCATCGAACGCGGACATCTGTCTTTTTCGTACATTGATGAAGGTGGGGATGTGCAAGAGAGACAGACACCCACGTTCGATGCAGTGTCTCCTACTTGTGCTTCACCACCACGACCTACGCAACTTTACAGCCTCTGATTTTATCATTCTGGTAGAGCACGGTGTAAAATGTACGTGAAGTTATGTGTAGTAATTTAAGTAATTAAAGTAATTACTACTAAGTAATGCCATATGGTCGATTTTATTAAACCATATGAATATCTGTATTTTTGGAGGTCAACTTTTGGGTAAAAAATTAATTGTAAACTTGCCGCAAACAGCACAAATTACGTTAACTTTTTATTATCTATTTATAAAATTAGTTGCGGCTGGTTTATAACTATTAAAGTGGCTCTAATATAGCAAGTAATGATTATTTGGATCAGCGCCATCTAGCGTTGCGAATTTCTGAAC